GTGTTGCACAGTAATTCCTGTGCCAAGTGTGCCAACTGCTGATGAGGCTTGCAACATTTATGAGCAACTCTTAGCACTGCCTTGAATGGGTCACTCCGGATGTGTCCCACCTGGTGGGCTGCCGATGCCACAGCTGGTTGGTGTCATTAAAGATGCATGCCCCAGCCCCTGTCCCTCCTATTCATTGTAGAATAGTTTCGTTGCAGCAGAGTATCTCTTGGACGCTCGGCCTGTTGCAGCAGTTGAAAGGATTCCATTCCAATCTCAGAGTCCCACACACTCACTCGGTTTTCATTAGCCCAAATTGGTTGCGGGGGTATGGGAATTGTTCAAGGTGGAGGGCATTGGATAAGGCTGAGGCTAAGGGATAAGGGATAAGGGATAAGGGAAGGAAACCCCTTAAAGTTAAGCTCCAGAGAATGGGACAAAAGTTGCCTTAAAGCCCGCTGCCAGTCAATGGCGACGAGGGCGACGAAGATGACGATGATGATAGTTGGGCATTGCAAGAACGAGCTCCACCCGCTCAGTGTCCATGGGCGTGGCAGCGGTGCTGTGGAGGCGGCAGCAAAAAACCCGAAAATAAAAGGAGGAAAAGCTGAGGAAAAGCAGCTGCAGATTTTCTATAAAAGCCGAGGCTAACGAGATTTGATGAATTGCAAGTCTTTGTGAATGAAGCTACAAGAAAGCTGCAGCATGAATAGCCCCCAGGCGCACAGCCCCCGCAGCCCCCCACCCCACAACAGCGTCTAAGCCAGGTCCGCATAAAAAAACCCATTAAGTGGTTTAAAGCAGTGAAAAAGCGCTCACAACACAGCAGCACAGGCAGCACAGGCAACACAGGCAACACACAGCAAAAGGAAAAATGCAGTTGACATGAAAGGCAGCGCAGAGCAAAGACGAGACGAGACGAGACGGGGAAGAACTGCAGCAGAGGCAGACAGACAGAGAGTCTGAAAAGAAAGGCGGACTGGCAGACAATGCTCAGTGGGAGAAGGGCGGAGCTTGAGGAGGACAAAGCAGCTTGACGAATTACTTGGCAGCTGCTCCTTGGATGGAGGACACTGCAGGACGATGCAGGGCGCAAGAAATTTAATTTGACCAACATTTTGATGTATCAAGTTCAGTCGGAGTGGAAGATTTATGACTTGCTGACAGAGACAAGGCGAAGGACAAGGACAGGGATAGGGATGGGGACAAACACCAACCACTCGCAGATTGTGATGTCAAGTGCTGTGCAGCAGCAGGCAAAAACAGTTAAAGCTTTAGGATGCGATTCCACTCAGCGTACTCAGCTCTCCGGCGAAAGCTTTCGGCTAGCATTGAAAGCTCCACCACACCAAGATCGCATCAACGGCGATCGCGGAGCTTTCGGCCAAAGCTCTGCAACGCTGAACGCCAACGCCGACGCCAACAAATGAAAGTAAGCGGACAACTTGTTGCACTTCCCATTTCCCATTTTCCATAACCACTTTGCCCGCCTGCACTCACACGTAATGGGTCCAATGGAAATGAGGAAAGGAAAACAAGGCCTTGGACTGGACAGCCAGTTGTGTAGCTCAGACACAGAGTAGACGCTGCCAAAAGCCTCAAACATCTGATTTGAACATCAAACAGTCACAGTATTCAGTTTTCGGCAGAAACAGAAATTCGGGTTGTTGGCCTTTGACAAATACACAGAGACAGAAGTGAACGAAAAGATGACACGCCTCTCCGCTTTGAGTGTGGCCGTGATGCTGCATTCGGTGATTGGTCTCTCCTACTACTACTTCTTCAAGCTGGGACGCTGCTCCTCGCAGCCGACGCCCCTCCTGGGCAGCTGGCTTTTCACGGGCTGCGTGGTGGCGGTGCTGCAAGCGGTGCGCCTGCTGCCCATCGGAGTGCCGAGCTTCACGGCCCTGCTGCTGGAGACGAGCATGTGCTGCTTCGTGCTCGACCTGATGCTGACGAAGCTGTGGTGCCGCATCGAGAATCTCGTACACTGCGCCATCGTGGGCGTGCTGCAGAAATGCCCCGTCGAGGATGAGACCTTCCTGGCCTTCGAGTATTGGACGCAGGCCACACTCACCTCCATCATTGGGTTCTGTCTGCTGTGGGTGACCCTGTGGGCCCTGGCCCTGCCCCAGCGGGTGCGCGAGGGTTTCCAGGGCTGGCGTCACAGCTGCCATCGACAGCTCTCCCATGTGCTCTTCTCGCGGCAGGAGAGCGCCTGATTCAAGCCTACTCCCACTCCAAATTCTCAGTTCAAATAGAGAAAATTGCTCAAATTATGGGTTAAGTAAGAGCATTTAAGCATTTCCATGGCCCAAAGATTCCACCACAATAAACAGCAAAACAATCTCAAGTTTCGGGTTACATTTTATCCTTTTGGTTGGTTCCACTGGGTGGTGGCGATGTGTCGCAGCGAACAAGTAAATCAAACTGGAAAGGCGCCGACCAATTTCGTTTTCATTTTCATTTGCCATGGCAATGAAAAACCCGTTTAACCGTATCATGGCCAAGCGGCAATGCGGAAGAGGCTTGCCGTCTAATTGTGGGCTTCGGAAGACGGAACCAGGAGCCAGGCACAGCCAAATGCTGCCTCTTGCTGCCTGCTTGTGATGTGTGATCGAAGGCTAAACTTGAACTTGAAGCATGGCCAAAATGCAACACGCAACAACAAGCCGCAACATATGCCGCCGCCGCTTCCAAAGAATTGCCAACACGCAAAGGCAACTGGAAGCTGCCACTGCCACTGCCACTGACACTGAAGCTGTTGCAGTGGCAGAGCCATGCCGCCATGCCGCCATGCCTTGGCACATTTGGCAATTGTGGAAAATTGAGGAAAATTGGCAAGTGGCCGGACAGTCGGAGTATAAAAGCAGCTGCCATCGACCAAAGCCAAGTTAATCGAAGCCCGTCGCTGGAAAAGTGCAAGTGCTTTCCACGCTTTCCCAACCGTGCCGTGCAGCTCGCGTATCCCAAATATCAATTGAAAACCCCTTGAGGTGTGTGTGTTTTTTTTTGTGTGCCCTCCGTGGACTCCATTTTGATTCTTTGTTTCTCTTGCTCGCTCCTGCAGATGCTGTGCCAGCGACACATCCGTTGCCGCCTGCTGCTGGCAGGACAGCTCCTAATGCTGCTGCCCATCATGCAAACCACGCCCGTGTCCAGTCCCGAGATAGCCAACAAGGCGGCCCAATCGCCCAACAGTCTGCAGGTGCAGCAGCAGCAGCAGCAACAGCAGCAGGAGGCGCACCTGAACTCACTCAGCGCCTATGCCAGTGGATATGACAGCCTGGCGCAGCTACAGATGCAGAGCCAGCTCCAGAGTCAGCTACAAAGCCAGATTCAGGCACAGAAGCAGGGCCAGGCACAGGGACAGGGACAGGGACAGGGACAGTCGCAGGCCGAGGCAGATAGCTCCTCCTTCAAGCCCTCCTACAAAATGCCCGAAATGGAGACAAACTTCACGCCCATGCAGACGGCTGGTACGCCCAGCGTGGGGGGCCTGCCCTCCACACCCATGCTGATGCAGTACCTGCCGGCCCAGACCCTGCAGGATGGCACCGGCACCGTGCAGTACCTCCAGCTAATACCCACACGTCCGATTATCGTGCCCATCAGTCCGTACCTGCAGGCGGCTGCCGCAGCTGCGGGCAACATGCACACCCCGCCAGCGCCCAGCGTGGTGGCAGCACCACAGCCCGACTTCTCAGGCCGCACAGCCACCGTGCTGAGCGCCCTGCCGCCCAACTACGGCCCGCTGCAGGGCTATGCCACGAGCATCAATCCTGCGGCCGCCTACCGCAGCACTTACCGCATCAACCGCGAGGCCAAGGACAAACAATATCCGGCCACATTCTCGCTGAATCTCAACGAGTATCTGCCAGCCTCCTCGGTGGGCCACGATGCCAGCACCCATTTGTACCTCAGGCCACGATCGTAGGGGATGCAGCTCGGATTTGCTCTCTTGAAGCGTCTCTTTTTTTTTTGTTTTGTTTTTTGTTGCATGAAACCCCAAATAAAGCTGATGGAAAAATGGAATCAAACGCAAAGAGTGTCCGTTTAGGCCTTCGTGGGGGGGAATTCCACACCTTTCACTTGGGTAGCCCTTTAAAAAGTGGATCGTAGAGTGGAAGAACTGAGTGTCTGGCAGGGGACTGAGTTTCCGCCTTTCGTTTTCACACACAGACGACCCAGAGGGGGGCAGCATGGAACCGGGTTAACGGTTACCGAATCTAGACAAATAGCCAAAAGGCAGACAAAGGTTGCGCGGGGGTGACGGCTGCCCTCAACAAGGTCGTCTTTGAATGTTGAACAGAATGCAGTGGCATTGTTTTTGGTGCTCGCTTGTTTGTTGTTTGTTTTTTGCTTTTTGCTTTTGGTTTCTTGCTGTCTGTGTGGAAAGTGAGCAACAATTTGACGCCCCACCGGAACAGAGTCGCGTCGAGTAATAGTAAGTGTCGTGTGTGTCTTCCCCAGAGCGGGTATTACACAGGGGCAGCGTGGACAACCTTGAAGTTGCGTCACAGACCAAGTCCAAGTCGGAGTCTGTGGCGTGTCTCACTTTCATCTGTCTGCACTCCTAATTGTCACAATTTGGCAAATTCATTTGGCATTAACTGGCCTCAAAATCGGTATTAAATTCAGCGCTCCACACAGACACAGGGCATGTGGCAGACAGTGGGTGTGGTGTGTGCACCAGGGAGGGCTAAAACATCTTTCACTTGCGCCGCACTTATGTAGAGCAAATGGCCAAAGGCTCTATCATTCACTCACTTACAGTCGCTTGCTTTGTATAGCCACGAAGTGGAAATACACTTGGAACCTTGAATTGGAGCTGATGGATTTGGGTAAATTATGAGGCATTACTCTCTGGCTGGACTCCCTGTCTGTTAGTGTATTTGCTGGCTATTCGAGTGGCATTACATGCCACATTCAGTGCCACAATTCACTTTCAATCATCGAAATGTTCCACATGTCGTCGCTGCATTGATGTTGTGTCCAAAAGTTGCCTCATGATGATGATGATGAAGACGCCCCGTGGCGTTCGTCTCTGGATGGGATCTCTTGTAATGGGATTTTGGACGGGGTTCAGGGCTTCGATGAGTTGATTGGCTGCACTTGCCTCGCGACTTGCCTCCACGCTGTATTTTTGTAGAGCGGAAGTGAGCGGTTATCGATGCTCTCTGGCCCCAACCTACCAAATGCTTCTCACACTCACCCTACTCCACCCCGCCGCACACTCACTCTCAACTCACTTGTGGTTTAGGTTCGAATGGTTCGATTAATGGCCAATGTTTTGCTTCTTCTAGAGAGCTGATCTCTGAGTTGGTGCTGAAGCTGTGGCTGTGGCTCTGGCTGTGGCCCGGGGCGCGCTTCACTTGTCCGACGTTGTTATAACACTTTAAAGCGCGTAAATTAGCTCTGTGGACCGGGTCTTTGTTGGCGGCTTTTGGGGCGGTGCTCGCTTGCTTGTTGCATGCTGCCCGTTTGCTGTTTGCCGTACCCCGGTTACCGCGGCTTCAAATGAATTCAATTTGAATTTCCAGCTATTTACTTTCCATTTCAATTAATTGCCAGAGCTTTAAACGGATCCAAGTCAAGCCACACCAAAGCCCCATCAAATCCAATCCAATGCGAACTCACTTCAGTCCTTTCTTCGCTCATCTGCATCCAATGACTGCGGCAGAGAGAACTCCGAGCTCAGATCGGAGCTCTGACCAGAGGCCCGTCCCCGGCCGGGCGGTATAAAATGACTGCCAGAGCTCGGCTCTGTCGCAGTCGCTTCAGTGGTCGTCACATGTTCGGTTTTAGCCACAATTTCTGTCTCTATATTTCGGCATTAGTTTTGTGTTCATTTTTGTGGCAGTTGTGTTTGTGCTCAAAACATTTTGTTCATTTTTGTTGTGTGTGACTTTGGTGAATGTTGTCTGTGCTGGTTGTGGCTTAACCCAAGGAATCAGCGTCATCATCAACAGGGAAGACCTTAAAGGAGATACCAGAATTATGGTGCGTACGGGGGAAGTGTTTACTGAACCTAAATATGGATATGGATATGTCAGAAAGCACCAGCACTTATGGACAGAACTTATGAGAGTTGAGTTGAGGCATTCCATAGATTAATCTATGACATTCCGGTATTAAGCGCACAAAAGTTAAGGAAGATATCAATAGACGAGAGTTCCGGCTAAACGAAAGTGCTTGCAGCTCTTTTAAGTCTGATTTATCATAATGATACCATCACAGATACATATAGCTACAGATATAAAGACACACAAAGAGAGAGAGAGAGAGAGAGCTGGACTCTAATGTATGGATTGATTGATCATATGTCAACGGAGGGAGCTTGATAGCTGGCATCTGTTCATGGGTATTAGATTATGGGCAAAACAATGAAGGGGAAAGAAAGTTTGTCGCTGAGCCAAAGCCAGCGTTTATTGGGTTGGCATTTAAAAAACCAAACCCTCTCCTACAATGGGTTCTATTATGATATTTCAAGCACTCGGTCACATGTCAGTGATTGGCATTGCCCTAGAACCTCAGCGGCAGCGTCATCTATGAACCACCAAGTTTGTGTCTTGAGTCTTTTGTTGACTTCTTTTGTCTTTGCTTTTTTTGTGTGTGTGTGTGTGTGTGTGTGTGGAACAAAAGGCGCAAATTACGCATGTTAACGATGCGCCTCCATTAGCCATGCTCTGGGCCATCAATCAGCGCGCTGCACTTGCCGACCTGCTCCGATATGACCTGCTGCGATCATTAGTCGGGGCCGACAAAAATAATTACAGGCCCCTCCTGGAAACTGGGGCACGCATGGGGCAGCAGCTTAGTCGTAGTTTGGCCAGCGGCAGTTTCGCAGGTTTCGATTTCGTTTCGCAATGTTGCAACATCTCGTGGAATGCTTCTGCTTCTTCATCTTCACTGGAAGCTGTGTGCAGCTTCGACTTAGACTTTGACTTCGACTTCGACTTCTTGCGTGACAAATGGTCATAAGTGGCTCCGCTCTGCAAGTCCGCTTGATGCTGGTGCTGGGGATTTTAGAAAGGCCGCCGATCGGGCCAACTGGCTTATCACTGGCGGCGCAGTGTGGCCTTGTCCTGATCGTGTTGCACACAAACAGGTGGACGGGCCACACAGTTGCACCCACAACTTACAAGCCACAAGTAAAACGAAGAAACAAAGAGAAAAGGTTTGGCCTGAGCAAATTTCACGGCAAATTTGTTTCAGTTTACAATCGGTTGATCTCTCCACTTGACTGCACAAAAAGGGGGAAATCCCTCTCTGACAAATGCTCTCCAATTTCGAGCCAAATTATAAATGGTCAAAACTTAATTAAACGCATCAATGGCTGCTGCTGGCTCGTTGCCAGTGGGCGTGGCACTGGCGAAAGGCAACAGCAGCAGCAGCAGCAGCAGCAGTTGTGGCAGTGGCAGAAAAACCTTTCACCAAAAAGCATTGCTTGCCACCTGACTGTCGTCTGTGGCCCTTCTAATCAGCCCGTTGCCTCCTGTCGCTAATCCAACTCTGTCTCCGCATCCACAGGCTGCCTGGCATCACCTGCTCCTAGTGATCGTCGCTCTGTCGGCGGTGCAGGCTGTACTCTCGCCCCCGCCCGGCTACGATGACGACAACTCACCGCTGCAGCTGCGCCTGGAGGATCTGGAGCGGGAACGTGAGCGAGAGCGTGAACTGAACCAGGATCTGGAGCAGCATTTTGATGTGAATCGGCCGCCGCTGCTGCCCAATCATTACGAGTGGCGGCCGGGCGTGGCGGCCAGCCTGCCGCCCAGCTATGTGCAGGATGCCGCCCAGCGGGAGCGTCGACTGGAGGAGCTGCGTCAGCTGCAGCGACAGCACCAGCAGCTGAGTGCGGGCTACGCATTCCCCGCCCACCTGCCGCCGAGCGTCTTCTATGTGTGAGTACAGAGGAGGAAAGAAAGCTTTCAGCGACAGCTTTAGTGTGCGAGTTGCGAAGTTTGAAGCTTTTGCAGCTTTTGCAGCTTTTAGCTGAGACACTGCACAGAGAACAGCTTCACCTACCGCAAAAGCTTCAGGGGAAGAGCTTCAAACGGTTGCCAGGGGGGCGAGCTTTTAAGCTCACGCTTGAAACGAAAAACTAAAGCCACAAACAGTTCGAAGTGAGCAGAAAAGAGACAACGAACGAGCACCGTTAATGTTGCTGCTGGTTGGAGGCTGATTGAAGCTCGGTTCGGCTGCTGAGGCAGGGCTGATTGATGCCCAAATTGGCGCAGACTTTCATTTGTGCCTGGAGAGCTGACCATCCAGCGCCTAATCTCACACTAATCCCGAGCTAATCTCAGACTAATTCGGGCCACTTTGCAGCGCTGTCTTCGGGGTCTGGGTGTTAAAATGGCAGTTTCACTTTGGCCGCCGTTGGCTTCCGACAAATGGATGGATGATTGCGGGAATTAGGGCCACCGATCAGAGGCGGCTCCTCTGGGTATTTTATTGTAGCACCTCGTTAATGTTACCAATTCTGCTTACTCCCACACAGCGGACCCGGACCAACAGCAGCCACGCCCACACACACGAGCACACCGACGGCAACGGCAACGGGACCGGCATCGGCATCGACAGCAGAAATAACTGCAACCTCTGCCAGACTCCTGAAACCCATTGTGCCCTATGATCTCGATCTGCAGCTAAATGGCATTCAGTATCTGGGGAGCAATGACCTGCCACAGCCACTGCAGCGACCTCAGCACCAGCACCAGCACCAGCTGCAGCTGCAGCTCCAGCTACAGCGGCCACCCTTTGTCTATGGCTATACGCAGCCGCCGCCCAGGCTGTACGCCGCCCGACCACCGCCACCGCCACCGCCAGGACTAGGATTTCAGCAATCGAAGCAGTTCGCCTATGCACCGGCCCCGCAACGCGGCTACGCCGCTGGCCATCGCATACCCCTGCCCTATCCGCCGAGCTTCATCAGCATCACAACGCGACGGCCCTCGGGCGGCTATGGGGCCAGCCATCAGAAGCCGTTCCGCCCCTCGCAGCCGGACCCCACGCCGGATCTGTTCGCCGGACGTGCGTCCAAGTCGCTGCTGGACTCGTACATACCCAGCTGGGAGGTGTTGCGGCTGCTACAGCAGACCCAGCCACAGCCACAGTCACAGTCGCATCCGTACAGCAGTCATGGTCCAGTGCAGCGGCACACACTGGCCTACCCCGTCACCCGACCGTTGAGACTGGTCAAGCGGGGCTCCGAGAGGGAGACCGTGAAGAAGTCGCTTCAAGCGAATGTTTAGCTTACATTTGTCTCTGTATGTGTGTGTGTTATGTGTGTGTGTTTGCGTGCGTGTGTGTGTGTTTTTTTTTTGCCTGTTTACGATTATTTATTAAAGCCAATAACGAGCAATAAATGATGAATGATTAGAGCTGTAGATGGTGCAGATCAAGCCGCAGTCACAGTCTTCCTGCATTCTCAGTTGCCCCAAAAAAGACGCGGCACGATCACATAACAGGCACTAGACCTAGGCAGACCGGGTGCAGCATCTCCATCCGCCAAAAACTTTCAGCGTTCAGCCACATCTTCACTTTCCAGCTTCAACGTCAGTTTCGATTTGTGTTCGATCGGTTTTCAGGCCATTTAAAGCTGGAGCCAAAGACAGAGGCAGAGCCAAAGCCAAAGCCAAAGCCAATCCAATCGAATCAAATGTGCAATCTGTGACTTTGTCAATGAGCCAGTGGGGCTGCCAGGCAGCTCCTCTTCAGTTTGCTTCTGGAGCTGCTGCTGCTCACGTAATCGTGCCCATAAAGCCAACAGCCAACAGCCAACAGCAATAGCAAACAATTACGGGCAGAGCGAGACGGAGAGGACGCGCAAAGATTATGATTTGTGTGGCAGTGTGCCCCATGTGGCAGGCTGAAAGTCCGCTGATAGACGGACGGATGGACGGACAGGTGGAAATTTATGCAAGTAGGAAGCGAAGATGCTCCAAAGATGCTGCTGCTGCTGCTGCTGCTGCTGCTGCTACTCGTACTCGTGTGTGTGTGTGTGTGTGTTTTTTTTTGTCTGTTTTTGGCCATCTCATGGTTGTTAATGAAGCTGCCACTGGATGGGGCACAGGCACATCAAAATTGTTGCATTGTCTGCTTGTTTGTCACCCATTCACCCATCAAATATGCAGACAACAATTGAGCCTGAGTGGGGCCCTGCCCTCTGGCTTCAAGGGAGACATGTGGCTGGGCAGACACTTCCTGACTGGAAGTCTCACATGGGATAGCGATACCCCGTTGTAGCGTTGCGCTGTGTCAAGCCAGCTTGACCTCACCTTGGGGGTCAAATCATGCTCCAGTTTGTGGCTGAATCAAAATTAAAATATACATAAATAACTCCCATTGAAAAAAGGGAATCTTTTGTGGCCCTTCTGCCCACGGCCAACCTTCTTAATGTTGGATTTATGTGCGCTTCTGCCGCCCAATGGCCGACGCCGTAGGCTGACCGCTCAAGGCACATCTTCACAATAAACACAAATAATAGTCGCTGACTAAGTGACAGTGTTGCAGCTTAGGAGCAGACAATGAGCTCTTCGCTAGTTGAAATCGAGCTAAGGTTGAGGCTGAAGCTGAAGCTGGTGGTGCCATTGTGCAATGTTTGCTGAGCCACGGATCGGTGTCTGTTCGGTCGGCTTCGATTCGCCACAGTCATTGACAGCGGCACAAAAGATCATCGAACAACATTTCAATTGCTGCCAAACAATTTGTAAGAGCAACCAAAACCAGCAAGATATCGATATCCTTGAGAGCTGACCGTCTTTTCATATGCCAATCAAGTACAAATATGTGGAAATATGACGAAAGTTAATCAAAAGATTACAGGATTGCACTGCTAATTTGTGGAGTGGCTTCCCCAATCAAATATCAGACTACCATCTGGAGCGGCTCCATGGTACGTACCTCTTCCCTTCGCAGTGTTTGAAAACAATTTCGACAATGCAACCCAAAAATTGGATTGCGAATGAAGCGAATGAGTATTCAGCTCTGAATATCTGTTTGCTGTTTTATCGTTATCTTTGCTGCTGCTGCCGCCTCTGTGCTCTGTTTTGTGTCTTTTTGACACAAAGCGTATTACAAAATCCCACCTAAAAAGACCAACTCTTGTTATGCCATTTCTCTTTTCGCGCTAGCCCCAGTCCCAGTCCCAGTCCCTGCCCAGACCCAAGCGTAGACAAGTTAATGCGCCAATTAAATTGCCACTACTCGTGGACCCCTTGGCACTACTCTCGTATCTTTCTCCTTGGTATCTCTTTTGGCCTGGCTGGCCTGGCCCTCGCTGTCTGCAATTGTTTCTATGCAAATTTGTGTGTTTCGATCGGTTGGTGGCTTTTTTGTGCAGGGCATAGAAATCATTATCAAATATCAAAGCATACAAAAGGCAGACACGATGCCCCACAATAAGCGTCATCAAAAATTATTCACTCAAAAATGAAAGGCCTCCGGAATGGACATCAAATGGAGAGTAGAGTGGACCAGCATCATCTCTGGCAGCAGCCAAAAGTTGCGCCAATTTTGTTTATGACTTTGAACTTGAACTGGAAATCGGACAGTGGCCAGAAGACAGGCGACAGATGGGTAGGCTGCGCCAATGGCAGAGTCAAATCTCTTGTCCCCAAAGAAAGGCCAAAAAAAGCTGCAGAAGCGAAAGGGATTGTGCGTGTTGTGTGTGTCTTTCTGTATGTCTGGATGGCTGGTTGCTTGGTTGCTTGGGTGGAGTAGACCTTTGTGAAAGGTGCGATCTCCCATGGCGAGGCAAGGTCAGTTGTCAGGGTTCTCACGCAGTTGAATGATGCGTTAAAAAATAGCTTGAAACAGTGAATAATACAGCGGCATACAGCGGAAATATGAATATTGATGTAGTACCGAGTACTAGTACTGTCACTAAATTACAGTGGCAACAATAACTAATACACTGCAGCCACCAGAGCGCAGTCAGCTAATGTTGCGTGTGACGTTGATGCGCTGTGCAAATGTCGCATAAGCGAACAGATATCATTCGCTGCGACTAAAGCGAGGAAGAGACTGAAATAGTATACGATGTACATGCCATAGAATACCAATTTCCATGCCAGCCAAGAAAACCCACAGCTAAGCCACCATGGGAGAGAGAAAGCGAAGGTGCAATCTGTCAGATAATGTTCGATAATCTTGTCGTGTATCTCGTAACTCGTAGAACATTTAAGCGTGGAGTAACTGCAGCAGAGTGCCTTGAGGTGTACGGAACCAGGTACGAAGCAGAGTATACAGTGGGTGAGTGACAGCCTTAGGCAAGATCCTCATTAGCGCGTAATACTATGCTTTTAAGCAGCTCTCATGCTATTAGATGATTCGAACTTTCCACCAAAAAGAAACATCCATCTGCCACTTCCCCACACAAATACACACACGTACAGCCAGACAGTTTAGAGTTGAACAACAAATGCGAAGATCTTTCTATCTGCATCAGTTTGTTTACAGCTGAGGCAATATTCCAGGCAACCTACACCTTCAGCCACAGGCACACAGGTACACATACAGATGCTCATGTGGACGTGCGGTGTCATTGCTAGTGAACTCGTCCACAGAGATCGGAGATCGTAGATCGGTTCGGATCGTTCCGCACGCTCTGCCCTCGACTCCGAGCCAGCCAGCCAGCCAGCAGCTACCAGCTCTGAATCCAAATCCGAGTCCAAATCCGAGACTCCGCTGACTGACTGGCCAAGTGGCTTGATGCAACCCAAACGAAGACGTAGACGTAGACGAAGACCAAAAGTTGTCCCTCTACTTGGTGTTGGTGGTGCTGTGTGTGTTTTCAATGATGGTATTGGTGGTGGTGGTGCTGCTGCGGTTGGCAAAATGCGCGATATATAAACCGCGAGCATCGCCAGCGCCATCCACAGTACAAGGCGCGACTTTTGAAAGCTGGCAACGCAGCTCCTCCATTCCCACACAGACTCCAACACACTATCGATATCTCGAGTGTCTGCCACATACGGTTGTGCCTCCCTCCGCCCGCAATCACCTACCAACCAAAAAGTTGTTTGTTTTTTTTGTGTGCCACGAACAAATCGGGCGAAGAAAGTGCCGCCTCCCAGTGAATTGGATATAACATATAGCTGCTGCGATCTGGCACGATCTGGCTCTCGATCTGGCTACAACAAGTAACTGATAAGTGCGTGAGAAGTTTGCTTTGAATGTGCATTGTCCGCATATTAGCATAGGAGGAACACAGAAACACCGAGACAGCCATGCGACTGGCATTGATACTGGTAAGATTCCGTAATGGTGATTACACAATCTCCCGGAAGAGATCTACAGCCACACCCCCACAACAACCAACAACCATCTCTGGCTCTCGGGCTCCCCCTCCGCCTCCCCCTCCCCCTCCCCCTCTTCAAGCCTGACATATTGCATTTGCATTCCAGTTGCAGTTGCAGTTTCCAGTTGCTCAGCCGGTCAGCTGCCATGGCGGCGGCAAAGCGGGAAAACCAAGCGAAATACCCGCCCCAGGCAGTTCAATGATCTGGCCACAGGATGCTGTGATTCAATGCACTATTCCACTCTCCATCATAGAGTGTTGCTCCCTTTTTTTCTGATATCTCGCTCGACCTCCTCGCTTGGCTGCACCTTCACTGGCGCTGCCCTTGCCCTTGCCCTTGTCCATCAATCACGGACCACAGCGAAGGGCCATCCACATGGCAGTCACAGCTTGGACGCTAATTGGACGAGCTCCGGCTCGGAGAATGGCCACTTTGTGGCGCAACCAGAACTCGTTTCCTAGCCACTCTGTCACTCTCCCATTTGGTTACATAAAGTTATTACCAGCTGAAAACGGAGGATCGGGAGACAGCTGGGGGCTGGCTTTTGCTTTGGCGTTGGCTTTGGCTTTGGCAGGATAATCTCCGCTTGTCTAATTTACATTTTATTGTCTTGTGCCTGGCTTTAATGCTGCTGTTGTTTGCCACAAGTAATGTTGCAGATGAAGTTGATGATGCAACAACGAAAGCCAAACAGTAACAAAAACTAAGCAAAATTTCGAGTCCGACTAATTTGCACGCGTTGCGTGACGATCGTTTGCCTCTGCCTCTGCCTCTGCCCCGTGTTGCTGGTGTTTCTTTGATGTTTTACAAGCGACTTTACCACCCCAGGGCGGGCAAGAAAGTTCAGCAGCAGCAACAGCAGCAAATGGCACCCATGAGAAATTGCAATTTTGGAGTTCTGTGAATTGCCAGCGAAGAATCCATTGCAATCTCTCAGCGGATCCATTCTGTTTGTAAAGTGAAAGGCAGCGCCACAGAGTCGAATGCAATTAAATTAAATTATTACAGAAAATAGTTGGCAAAGATAAATCAATTGCTGT